GCCTAGCATCTTTGTTCAATCACCTACAATTACAAAGAGATACAAAATGAATAAAACATAATTAGAAAGAGATGTAAAATAAATAAGACGTATTGCAAAATGAACAAAACATAATTAGAAGGTAACATAATATTACATGTCTTAGAAATAATCATCATGATCGGTATTAGCTGGATCATAAGTCTCATCATCACTATCATGCATGTCTACTTCCATGTTGATATCATGACCATCCGGAGGAGCAATGTTGTCATCACTGTCATTGCCTAATTCTAATCGCCAAAGTAATTCTAAGTCCTTCACATTTTGAACCTCATCCCCATCGTCCTCATCATCAACCCTTTCATTGTCTACTTCCATTCTGACCGGATCGGTTATGTCTATCACAAAGCTCCCTTGTAGCCCCTCTTCTTGAAAGAACTCTCCGTCATATGTGTTTGGGTCAAAGTTGTAATCTTCATTGTTTGGGACAGGTAGTTTACTGTGTGGCGATACCTTGTTCACAATATCCCAACCCTTAAGATGCGGGTCATCTTGGCACGCCCATGGGAGATAATAAACTTGTGTGGCCTATTGAGCCACGATATAGACATCGTCTCCTGGGTACTTGGAATCCTGTCGAATTTCGACTAGCCCAAGATTAGGGGTCCGTCTTATTTTTTTAGGATCAAACCAATGGCATTTAAATATGACAGGATTAAGAGGTTTGCAGCCATGAAACGTGAGTTCGTATATTTCTTCAACTCTTCCATAATAATCGAGCCCATCAAGGGCGGGCGTGAAAACTCCGGTATTTGTGGTTCTTCGATTGGGCCGACTCTGCTCGTGTCTTGTTGTGTGAAAACGATATCCATTCACGTCATAACTGGTAAATGACATGACCCTAAAGGCACAGCCACCGGCAACCTGACTCAACTCGGCGCTCATAGATGCATCGGTTTGGCCCTGCAAGCTCAAGCAGGATAGTTCGTTATATCATTCGCACGTACGAGCAACTTGTAATGTCAAACTAAGTATGAGCTAAATTAGAACGTACCTTGCGTTTGAACCAAGAAATGAAATTGGGTTTTCCATTTCCCGCACCCCGTTTAAGAAGGGTGTGAAATTCCCTCGGGATAGGCGCCCTTGATCGATGCCAGAATTCATGAGTAAATTCCCTGTACCGACGAGAAACAAGGGGGTTGGATGCAGAATAGTGGCTAGTCGAGAACAAGTTTGTTGAAAATAGTGACTTACCCCATGTACGGCTCCACTTCTTTGAGGTTGGTCAGTACATATAGCATGATAGTGTGCCACTCTTCATGACTCAAGGTCTTGAGGGTCTTACCACTTGCACTTCTGAGTTGCCCTCGGAAAAGGCTGAGGTTCGATTCATTTTCCCCAGCATTGTAACGAGGGGGGTATATTATGCATGTTAGGAAGGTTGTCACCATAGTATGTTGTTGTGAAGTTTGACACCTCCTCCAGAATCGATGCCTCTGCGATGGAAGCTTCAATCTTGCATTTATTTCTACATTTCTTTCGAACAACCTTTAGGGTTCTCTCAATTGAATAGCACCAACGGGCCTGCATAGGCCCCCCCATTCGTGCCTCATATGGGAGGTGCAAAATCAACTGCTGCATCGGATTGAAGAAGCCTGGTGGAAAGATCTTCTCCAGCTTACAGAGCAACACAGGTGCCATTTTTTCCATGTTTGCAACCACGGCCCGAGATAACTCCTTAGCACAAAGCTGGCGGAATAAATAGTTCAACTCTACCAGCACTTGCCAGATATGATCTGGGACATAGCCTCGAACCATCACCGGAAGAAGCCGCTCAAGCCATATGTGGTAGTCATGACTCTTGAGCCCATTGATTCGCATAGTAGATAAGTTCACTCCCCTCCTCAGATTCGCTGCATACCCATCAGGGAACATTAACATTTGGAACCATTCTAGTACTTCCCTCCTTTGGGGCCTGCTTAACGTGAATTCGGCCTTAGGCCTAGTCCATTTCTTGCCATTTCTAGGAGGCTGCATCTCTTGCTTTGGTCTGTCGCATAACGTTGCCAGATCCACTCTAGCCTTAACGTTGTCCTTTGACTTATCAGTGTCCATGATTGTTCCCCAAAGTGCCTCAACGATATTCTTTTCAGTGTGCATTACATCAATGTTATGTGGAAGAAGAAGGTCATCAAAATAGGGGAGCCTCTCCAAGCCCAACTTGTGAGTCCATGCATGTTGCTCGCCATATCCCACAAAACCACCTTCTACTTCATTGACCTCGAGAGCATCTATCTGATCACGGACTGCGGCACCTGTCATCATCACCGGTGGAGGGTCTGTAACTTTGAGGCCTTTCATAAAGTTCTTGGTGTCTTGTCTGAATGCATGGTCAAGAGGGAGGAATTGTCGATGTTTGTCAAACGAGGAATACTTGCCACCCTTCTTCAACCAAATAAACTTCAGAGCTGTCTTGCATACTGGGCATGGGAACTTGCCGTGAACACACCAGCCATAGAATATTCCATATGCCAGGAAGTCATGCAGGGAGTAGTGGTACCAAACATGCATCTTGAAGCTTCTCTTTGTAGCTCAGTCGTATGTCCATACCCCTTCGTCCCAAACATTGAACAATTCATCAATCACAGGCTCCATGAACACACCCATACTATTCCTCGGGTGTTCAGGAATTATCAACGACAAGAATATGTTCTGCCATTGAAAGATGACGCCGGGGGGGGGGAGATTGAGCGGGATAACGAACACGAGCCAACAAGTGTATGGGGCAGCCATCATTCCATAAGGATTGAACCCATCTGTTGCCAGCGCAACACGGACATTACGGGCCTCTAGAGCTTTCTCACGATGAATGTCATCAAAATGTTTCCATGATTCACCATCGGAAGGATGTACCATCTTATCTGGATTGTATCGACGTCCATTTTTGTGCCATGTCATCTGTTTCGCGGACTCCTCGGTCATGTATAGCCATTGGATCCTCGGTATGAATGGAAGGTAGCATAGGATTTTCACGGGGATGTCAAGCTGCCTCTTGAGACCATCACCATAGTCTACCTCAAGGAACCTAGAGGATTTACACTTTGGACAGTGCTTAGCTTCCGCGTGTTCCTTCCTAAATAAGATGCACCCCTTTGGACAAGCATGTATCTGCTCATATGGCATCTTAAGTACACGGAGGAGTCTCCGCGACTCGTACATGTTCCTTGGCAGAATGTGACCTTCCGAAAGCAAAGTGCCAAAAATTGTCAGCATAGCATCGAAGGCGTCTCGACTCAGGTGGCACTGGGACTTGAAAGCCATAAGGCGTCCAATGGCATCTAGTTGAGAGACCTTTGTCTAGCCGTGAAGGGGTTTCTGTGCCGCAGACAACATGTCGTAATACGCCTTTGCGGTTGCCTCTAGCTCCTCATCCCTACGTCCTTCACCGAAGTGTGCTTCATGATAGTCACCTAACATGTCTCCTACCCCGCCATCAGCATCAAGATCCTCGATGCGTTGTCTCATGACCTCATCTCACCTACATCCTTCACCATGGAGGGTCCACCGGGTATAGTCTGTCATAAATCCATACTTGCCAAGATGTTTACCCATGTCCACCTTTGTTTGTTTACGCTGTTCTCACACTCGCTACAGGGACACCAAACTTTATCTGTTTCTTTAGCCTCCTGAAATGCTGCTTCCAAGAAAGCATTGGTCTTCTTCATCCATTCATCAGTCCAATCTCCATAACCCCTCAGGCCAGTGTACATCCACCCACGGTCATCCATCCTTTACCATATATGCGAGTAATATAAGAATCCATTGCATCTACATGAGGATCCTACTATCTAATAGGTGAAGATAGGTCCTAATCCCACCCAAGGATGTGTAGATGAGGTTAGTTTCCATGCTCTACTTCTATCCGAGATAGAATTTCGGCAGCACCTCTCCGCTCTTCTCCAAATACACGTCCCGGCAGGGAGATTGTGTATCCGGAGAAAAATAGGGAGATGATGCTGAAACTCTGTCTCGGATCGGAGTAGACCATGAAAACTAACCCCATCTACGCATCCTCGGGCTGTCCAAAAAATGTGGACAATTCGAAACACATATGGTTATAGATATGCAAAGATCTGCATACTTCCAACCGTATCCCTTTCGAACGGGAGACACCTAACTTGGTTATGTGATCTACGAACATGATACGGAAAGAGGGGTTATACCTTGGGTGGCGGTGGAGTCAGGCTAGCGGGGCCGTGGCGGGTCGGTGTAGTGGCGAGGCAACGCGGTGCAGGCAGACCCGCAGTGGCGAGGAATACGATCGGGGTCGCCGAGGTACTCCCGCTCGGCTCCAACGGGCTCTTCTCTACAAAAAAAGAACATACGGGCTTAATTGAAAATTTTGACAGAACCTCCCCTACACGGTGAGGTTTCTAAAACCTGCAAAAAAATGTACGACACGATGGCCGATAACCACATATGCATATGCATTGGATTCACATTCAACCATGAATCATGTAATAATATATATATATTATTTTTGACATTGATCCTGGCTGTGCTGGTGAGTTCACTAATTAATCGTTTATTTGTTGGAATTGTGTTAATTTATTATTATATATATAATATGCCAAACATGATAGCATGATATAGCATTCTGGTGCACAGGTTCGAAAGAATTTTTGGATGCATGTGATACAAATATACAATACACCTAGAGCTAGCAGTACAGTTTATATGCCTGCTGCTATCATATTACTTTCCAATGCAAGATGAGACCCAAAGCATTCATGTTTTAGTTAGAGAATTACAGTACAGTTTATATGCCTTGAGATGGTTAGGGTTTTCTGGAAGCAAGTGAGCTACTGTTTTGTAAAATAATATTCCAGAAATAATTACCATATGTTAAAAAAACTATTTCTGGAATTGTCCACTATATAGCATTATTGAGCCGCCAATGCTTTTTCTGGAATTGTCCACTATATAGCATTATTGAGCTTCCATATTCTCTTCTCGCAATGTGTATGTTCCTTGCCAAATGTTTTTCTACTTTTCCTGGGCTGTGTTGGCTTGCCCTTACAATGTAAGCTAGATATAAAGTGATTATTGCCTACCTGTTACTTAGATGGATTAATTCTCCATTATGTACTATTTCTTTGTTACTGATCTTTTATTATTAGTCTTGTACTCTTGATCTCTGTAAATGGTATTGCTCATTAATTTTTTTAAAGCAATCTGCTTTGGCCTAGGCGCTAAATATGCTGTAATGGTAGGCACATAATTGAGGAAACAGTTTGTTTCCTTTTTATTGACTTTTGGACTTTAGTTCTTTGTATAACATTTTATTTGTGAATCTGTCACCTGCTTCATGTCATGTTCACTGAATTTCCTCCTATCTTATCTTTCACCAAGAAAATAAAAATCTTTGTGTGATATAGGTATCAAGTGGATCATCCAAGTTATGACGATAGATTGAGATACTTCAGTATAGTGTTCGAGTCATTGCTCTCTTTCCAAACGGAGGAATCAAGAAACAAGTCAAAGAAACAGAAGTCTGCTATTGATCTTCCCAAAGCCCCGAAAGAAGTGGAGGGCCCTAAGGTTTCTGAGCTAAAGGCTAAGGCAGAAGCTGAGCAGCATGCTGTCTGTCGAATGAGGATGTGTCTCCGAGATATCTGTAACCGGTCTGCAGCTTACTCTTATTATAGAAGCAGGCAGTTGTGATATTTCAAAATCATAAAATCTACCTTCTTAAATTTGGTTTGAAACACAAGTGCTTCTGTTGGTAGCTTTTTATTTATTTTTCCTTTATCCCTTGCAATCTCATCACTGTTGTTCAATTGACTTTTGAAACCTGATAGAGCTAATAGTGTGACTGCTTATCTTTTCAGCATTTTGTACTACAAAAGGTTCAATGTATTTCACTTCCCTGTATCAGAAGAGGAGGTGCCTGACTATCGATCAATAATCCACAAGCCCATGGATATGGCTACTGTCTTGCAGCGGGTGGACTCTGGACAGTACCTTACCAGTGCAGCATTTATGAAGGATATTGATCTCATTGTCTCAAATGCAAAGGTACATCTTTTGGTGAACTTAGTTTCTTGATTCTTGACAGTACATTACAATTCAGTAATGAGAGTTGTGAGGATGACAGCTTAAATAATGCCGAACTTCCCCTTCTGTGACCTATAGACTTACAATGGGGATGACTACAATGGATCTAGGATCGTCAGTAGAGCATGTGAACTCAGAGATGTGGTATCTTGTTTGTTCTCACTTTCTCCTATATTGGGTTCTCGACAATGCCTCTACAGATTATCATTCTTATGTCTAATGAACCTCTTTTTGGCCAGGTCCAAGGTATGTTGTCACAGATGGACCCATCTTTGGTGTCCTTTTGTGATAAAATTACTTCACAGGGGGGCCCACAGCAGGTTGTGGATGATGAAGATAACTCTATTCTTCAAGCAGCGCCTGTTGCTCAGCTGGTTTCTGGTACTAGATTAAGTGCAAGGCTTCGCAATGTACAGCCAGAAGTAAACGTGTCACAAAGTTATGAAGTGCTAAAGCGGCAAAAGAAAAGTGCTGAAAATGAGCACAGTCAGTTTTCAAGATCTTAACTATAACCATTCATTTGCTTGTTAACTGTGATTGCAATAATTATGGAAAATGTTGATCTGTTGTTTCAGGCATGACCAAAGATGTGGTAGCTAGAGATGGAAAGTCTCCGGAAGATGTAGATTTGTCAAAACCAACTGACCCAGAAGAAGCTGCAAAAGAACCAGAGTCAAATGGCACAACTAAAGAAGCCAACGATTCACCAGCCGAAGAACCAGAAGTACCTACTTCTCCTGAACCCATGGAGTCTGACAACGGTCAAGTTTTTAATGCTATATGGAAACTATTTCTGGAATTGTCCACTGTAAAACAAATACAATAGTCAACACGTCTACCTTTAAATGTTGTTTAAGTGGTTTTGCTTTTGATTTGTCGTTGTAGCAATTTCTCATGCTTTCCCCCTTCTAAAATTTCTTTCACTAAGCCACTTGCCTATTGCCGGCAAAAAGGTTAACGGGGCTGCTGTATCACGCCAAGCTTTAGGATTTTACCTAACTAGTGACAGCTAAACTTAAAAAATTATGCATCGATCACTCTACTAGTGAAAGCTTTTTTTTTGCACTTGATCTCAGTATGAATATGAATTCAATGAAACTACATTCTACAGACAGATAAAATGATATTACAACATTTCACTCCAGGGGAACTAGGAATGAGGCAATTCGAAACACCAATGTTCTGCAGCATGGAACCTTTTACCTTATTTCTATCAGACAAAGGGAACATGAAAGAGATGAACAAGGGATTACCTAGGTACTGCAGGAGGCAGGCGGCGGGCCGCTCCTCGGCGTCGGCGCTGCGTGGGGAGGGCGCCGGGTGCGGGACGCCGGGGCAGCTGCGGAGTCTCGTCGTCGGCGTGCTGGGACAGGCGCCAGTCTGGCAGCGAGACGAGTCCAGGGCGGCCGCCGGGCGCCGCGGAGCGGCCGGAGGGGTGGAGCCTTGTGTGAGGGCGGTGGCAGCAGCGCGCATTGCGGGCGGGGTGGCGTGCGGGGCGGTGACGGGGGCGGCCGGCGGGCCAAACTTTGCCGGTGGAGGGCGGGGGGCGGCGCTGGCAGCGGCGGTGAGGGAGCGAGGGGACGGGAGTGTGCGTGCGTGCGTGAGTGAGTCTCGGCCGTGCCGCTTAAGTCTTGGTCAGGGCCTTTGCCGAGTGTCCGCGATCCGACACTCGGCAAAGATTTTTTAAAAATACTTTGTCGAGAGTCAAGCCTATAAGGCAACCCTATACTCTTTGGACAACCCTAGGACACTCGGCAAAGATATTTTTAAAAAACTTTTCTATTTCCTTTTCCTTTTCCTTAACCGTTTTTCCAAATTTGTTCCAATACACTTTGAAAATACCTCGTCAAATTCACTCAACAATGCAAATTTGATGCTTCAGCGAAAAATAGACCATGATTTCATGTAGTTATAGCACAAATTCCATTTATATAATTGCAATTAAAAATTAATAATTATCAAATGGATCCAAAAAATCACTAAAATTTAACATGACACGATCTTTGATGTCTATTGGCTATACAAAAAGTTTCGGAGTCAAACCACAACTCAACCGTTACTTTCACTCCAAATCTTACCAGATCATTCTCAACAATCATAAACTTCTTCGGAGATGTTTTGGTTTGTAAGCAATGTACATGACAACTTATGCGACACCTTCTCAATTTTTTACCACAGCCTCCACATATGATATCATGACATCTTATCAAATTTCATGATTTTCGGACTTCCTTTGCTTTTTATAGAATTTAAAAACCATTCAACCACATGCTCGGGGTCGTGTTTCCGAAATAAGATGTTCGAAAACCCTTATAATCTTATAGGTAAGGCCTCAAACTGGGTTGAATAACATGAATATCAATTTTATACTCATTTTTTTCCAAATATTTGAATCACTTGCCGTTCAAATTTAACTTAATTCAAAAAATTGCTTGAAATGCAATTAATTAGTTAAATATAGCAAATAAATTCAAAATACACCAAACTTAAGCATGGAGTACCAAATGTGGTATGTGGAGAGGTGAAAATTTTTGAAGTGTAGGAGTCAAAAAAAATTATACTTTGCCGAGTGTCTGCTTTTGACACTCGGCAAAGAGCCTCTTTGCCGAGTGTTGTATTTGTATACTTGCCAAAGAGCTTACGGCGGCAGGCTGGTTTAACGGCGGGCCAAAATTTGCCGAGTGTGAGACGTTGACACTCGGCAAAGAAAGTCTTTGTCGAGTGGCATGTCTGAGCACTCGGCAAAGAGGACGTCTTTGCCAAGTGCCGAAACTGAGCACTCGGCAAAGACTAGCTTTGTCGAGGGTCGTGTCGTTGTCGAGTGTTCGAGTTTGGGCACTCGACAAAGACAGCCTTTACCGAGTGCCCGAGATAAAAAAAAAACTCGGCAAAGTTCTTGGCACTCGGCAAAGCTTGCGATTCCGGTAGTGAGATCTTGTGTTTTGATTCAATTTGGATTGTTTTCTCCTGGTTCCCCTCTCTTGAGCTTTTGATGGATTTCTTGATCTAGTGTTTTTGAGGGTGTTTTGGTTGGATGGATTCGTGCTAGCACCTCTGAGGAACATCTCTGCCAAATAGTTTGGGCAGATTCCTCACGAGCACTGAGAATCATCCTTTGGAGGAAGAACTCAGAAAAGCCTCTTTTTCTTGGTGAGTTTTAGATCTGAGAAGTTTTCGTGATTTATGGGTATTGATCTTTGGAGGATATCTTCTAAACACCCTAGGGAACCTCTCAGCAAAATTTGAGGGCAATCAGAGTTCGTTTGCATGAATTTTGGCTTTTGGAGAGAAGTTCTCAGGCTGCTGTGCAGAAGAACCAGCTTAGCCGGTTTCGAAACCAGCTAAGCCAGTTTTGTTGACTTGCTCCGTTTAAGGTGAGGTTTGGTGGAAATATTCTTTATAATGTTGTGAACCTTCCCTCAAACTGTCATGATGTTTGGAGGTTGGTTTGGTTTGGTTTTGACTTTTTCTTTGTCAGGGTGTGCGAAAAAATCAGCTAAGCCAGTTTTTGCAGAAAAATCAACTAAGTCGGTTCCAAACCAGCTAAGTCGGTTTTCCTGGGTGACGTCGCCACCATGTTGCGTTGTCGTTTCCCAGGTTGCATCTTTCGTCCGTTTGACTTCCTATCTTTTTCGCTGGGTTCTCTGATGTCTCTTGAGTGTATCCTGTCACCAGTTGGCTTGTGTACAATTGTGTGGAAGTCTTCAGTGGTTTGAGTGCTTCGTTTGGGCAGGGTTTAGTACAGTGACCAAAGTCAAAAGAAAATTGGATTTGGCTCTCATTCACCCCCTGTGGTCACCTTGCTCGGTCCTTCAGAATATTCTTCCTCCTATCTTATGATGTCTATATGTTTTTTTCTACAATGTGGTTCATGATAGACGGAGAGAGAAAGATATTACTGATTGACGACATGTTTTATAACACAACACCCTGATGTTGGTGTGGCCAGGTCAGCCGCTGGGTGTGGCCTTGGTGCTCACTTCCAGGGCAGTTGGACAGGCTAGACCCAACCAACTAACGGGCGCCTGTCCGAAGCCACCCATGCCCATAACTGTTAGCTAATCTACTGCCACCTTGTGTGAACACAGCAGAAGAAGGCGGCGCCGACTTAGCCGCCTGCTGTGTGTGAACACAGCAAGAGAAGGCGGCGCCGACTTTGCCCCCTGCTGTGATACAGTAGCCACTGCTGCAGTGCAGGTGTCACCGCTCACTCATCAGATCAGAGGAACAGCGGTTGGCCGGCGCAGAGTCAGCCCTGTCAGGTTATCTAGTTACTGTGCCAGCATGGGCGCTGCACATGGACTAGATAGTTAGAGTTGTATAAATAGACATGTATGGCAACTCGATAAAGAGAGCTTAGATTTGCCATCACACGATGGGGGCCTCGCCAACGCTGTTGTCTTGTATTGTGCGTGCTTGCTCTGTTCTCCCTTCTTCTCCCAACTCCGTTTGTAGTGTGTGGGTACGGACAACGCCGGTACGTGGTCTGCACAGCTAGTGGGTGCTCGGCAACACTAGCGCGTGCTCGGCGAGACCGTCAAGTGCTCCACTCGCCTGAGCCGGTGCACGGCAAGATCGGCTAGAGTGGTTCACTGTCGTGAGCCGGTGATCCTGTGAGACCAAGGGTGGTCTGGAGGCCATCTCGATAGTCTAGAGGCTATCTGTAGTGGTCTGGAGGCCATTTCGGTGGTCGGGAGGCTAACTGTGGGTCAACAAGTGGTATCGGAGCCGTACAAGCGCCGTCGTCATTCTAACCGATGGCGATGACAGGCGGTTCAGAGTTGGGCGACGGCAGTGGCACTGTCGTGGCTGCCCAGCCACTACCGGATATAGTTGTTCGCACGGTGCGGGAGGTCAGCGGCACCACTTGGCCGACGCGGACTTGCACTAACTATGGAGAGTGGTCGGTGACCATGAAGGTCAAGCTCAGAGCCCGACGGCTCTGGAATGCTGTTGACAAGGGCACCGACGTGGAAGAAGACGACATGTCAGCGTTGGAGGCTATCCTCGCTGCTGTACCGGCGGAGTACAGGGAACCGTTGGGGACGAAAGGCTCAGCTAAGGAGGCGTGGGAGGCCATTGCGGCGATGCGCGTCGGTTCCGACCGCGCAAAGAAGGCGACGGCCCAGCTTCTGAAGCAGGAGTACGCAAACCTCAAGTTCAAGGATGGTGAAACAGTGGAGGACTTTTCCCTCCGCCTGCAGACGCTCATCAGCAAGCTGAAGAGCCACGGCGTCACCATCGACGAAGAGGAGGCGGTCTCCAAGTTCCTCCACTCCGTGTCGGCAAAGTACATCCAAATCGCTCTCTCCATAGAGACGATGCTGGACTTGTCCACCCTCACCATTGAGGATGTGGCAGGCTGTCTACGGGCGGTGGACGAGCGCCTGGTGCAGGCGACAGCAACGAAGGACAGCGGGAAACTCTTGCTAACGGAAGAGGAGTAGGCTGCTCGGCGAAACTCTGGGAAGGCAGCCTCCTCCAGTCACGGTGGCAAGGGCAAGCACCGCGGCAGGGCTTCTTCGGAGAAGAAGCACATCGACTCCAATGCCTGTCGGTGTTGCGGAAAGATGGGCCATTGGGCACGGGAGTGCCCAAATCGCAAGAAGGAGAAGAAGGCTCAGGCTCACCTAGCGAAAGCCGATGATGAGGATGAGGCTACTATCCTTATGGCGATGTTCTGTGCACTGCACGACGTCGAGGCCATGAAGAGGGAAAAGGCGACGACGGTGGAAGGACCTGGGAAGGCCCTAAAGATCATCAACCTCGACGAACCACGCGCCCAAGTTCACCTTGGGCATGTGGGCGTCGACCAGGAGCAGCGGTGGTATCTGGACTCTGGTGTCAGTAACCACATGACGAGCTCCAAGGACTCCTTCTCCGAGCTCGACGGCAATGTTACCGGTACGGTGAAGTTTGGTGATGGCTCAAGGGTGGCTATCCAAGGGCGTGGCACCATCATCTTCAGATGCCAGAACGGGGAGCACCACGCGCTAATGGATGTATACTACATCCCGCAGTTGTGCTCCAGCATCATCAGCATTGGCCAGCTGGATGAGCGCGGTAGCGAGGTTCTGATCAAGGATGGCGTTCTAAGGATCAGAGACCGGGAGCAGCGACTTCTCACCAAGGTGAAGAGGTCCCTGAACCGGTTGTACCTGCTCGACCTGAAGGTAGAGCAGCCGGTTTGCCTGGTGGCAAGGCACTCCGAGGAACCGTGGATGTGGCATGCCCGGTTCGGACATCTCAGCTTTGACGCGCTTGGTCGGCTGGGGAAGATGGTCCGAGGGCTACCCCACATCAAACACGAAGGCGAGCTGTGTGACAGCTGCCTGGTCGGGAAGCAGAGGAGGCTACCTTTCCCAAAGGCAGCCAAGTATCGCGCGAAGGAAGCTCTCGAGATAGTTCACGGCGACCTCTGCGGGCCGATCACGCCTGCTACATGCGGTGGTCGGCGGTACTTCCTCCTACTCATGGACGATTGCAGTCACTACATGTGGCTGCAACTCCTGACGAGCAAGGATGAAGCGGCGGTGGCGATCAAGAAGTTCAAGACGCGTGCAGAGGCTGAGAGCGGCAAGAAGCTCCGTGTACTGAGGACTGATCGGGGTGGTGAATTCACTTCGGTGGAGTTTGCTACGTACTGTGCGGATCAGGGTGTGGGACAACATCACACCGCGCCGTACTCACCACAACAGAATGGCATGGTGGAGCGACGGAACCAGACAGTGGTCGGCATGGCCCTATCCATGATGAAGGCCAAAGGGATGCCAGCAAAGTTCTGGGGAGAGGCGGTGACCACGGCGGTGTTCATCCTCAACCGTGCTCCAACCAAGGCCCTAATGGGCAAGACGTCGTTCGAAGCTTGGTATGGGAGCAAGCCGAACGTGTCATTCCTCTAGACATTCGGTTGCATCGGCCACGTCAGGAAGACGAAGCCGAATCTCACCAAGCTGGAGGACAGGAGCACACCCTTGGTGTTCCTGGGCTACGCGGAGGGTACCAAGGCGTACCGGCTCTATGACCCATGCGGAGACAAGGTGACTATCTCACGCGACGTTGTGTTCAACGAGGAGGCGGCTTGGGACTGGAACAATCCGAGCACGGGGGAAGCAGGAGGCTTCCCCAACACCTTCGTCGTCGAGCACTTGGTCATCCACGGCGGTGGAGACGCTGCGGAACAGGTGCCACGCACTCCGGGAGGAGCGCCGAGCACTCTGACGGTAGAGTCGAGCACTTCTGGGGCAGTGCCGAGCACTTCAGGAGGGATGCCGAGCACTCCAGGAGGAGTGTCGAGCATTTTTGGAGGGATGCCGAGCACGCCAGGAGTGGAGCCAGGAGGTTCTGCAGTGGTGGCGACCACTTCAGGACGGGTGCCGAGCACTCCCGTAGCGGAGCCAAGACGTCTTACTATGGTCCCGACCACTCCAAGACTGAGGCTAGGCACTCCTACAGTGTGGCCGAACACTGCAGGAGTTATGACGAGCAGTCTAGAAGCAGTGCCGAGCACTTCGGGTGCTATGTAGGGCACTCCAGCGGTAGAAGGAACTCCATCACCCCCAATCGAGTTCACCTCACCTCCAAGTGACATCACTGAGTTCGTGGACGCCTACCACGAAGGTGAGGAGTTAAGGTTCTGTAGGCTGGACGACATCGTCGGCGGCACAGGTCCCTCAGGTCTGGCGGGTAGGCTGCTCAATGACGTAGAGCTGCTACCGAGCGCGATGGAAATTGGCGACGGGCGATGCTGGAGGAGATGAAGGCGATCGAGGAAAATGAGACTTGGCAGCTCGTCGATCGACCTCCAGGATGCCGTCCGATCAGCCTGAAGTGGGTGTACAAAGTCAAAATGGACGAGCTCGGTGCCATTGTCAAGTACAAGGCGCGCCTCGTCGCCCGAGGCTTTGTCCAGCGTGAGGGCATCGACTTCGAGGAGGTCTTTGCGCCAGTAGCGCGCATGGAGTCGGTCCGTTGGCTACTTGCTTTGGCGGCAGCAAAGGACTGGCGCGTCCATCACTTGTACGTTAAATCGGCCTTCCTCAACGGCGAGCTGGCGAAAACGGTCTTTGTCAGACAACCTCCAGGGTTTGCTGTCAAGGGAGAGGAGCACAGGGTGCTCCGACTGCGCAAAGCGCTCTACGGGCTGCGGCAAGCCCCTCGAGCATGGAACGCCAAGCTTGACACCACGCTGGGCGAGCTTGGGTTTCAGAGGTGCGCAACCGAGCACGCGCTCTACACACGACGACGGGGGAAGGAAGAGCTCGTGGTCGGCGTGTATGTGGATGACTTAATCGTCACTAGCGCGCGCACGGAGGATATCAACAGCTTCAAGCGAGAGATGGCAGCTCGTTTCCGAATGAGCGATCTCGGCGCTCTCTCCTACTACCTCGGCATCGAGGTGAGACAGGGGAAGGAGGAACTCACGCTCGGGCAAAGCGCGTATGCCTCTAAGCTGTTGGAGAGGAGCGGCATGGTGGAGTGCAAGCCATGCGTGACTCCGATGGAGGAGCGGCTGAAGCTGATGAAGGCCAGCACTGCGGTGAAGGTGGATGCAACACTCTACCGGAGCATCGTCGGTGGTCTGCGCTATCTAGTTCACACAAGGCCGGACATTGCGTTCGCCGTGGGCTACGTTAGTCGCTTCATGGAGGATCCCAGAGAGGATCACTGGGCTGCGGTGAAGCGGCTACTACGCTACGTCAAGGGGATGGTGAATCATGGAATCATCTTCCCAAAGACCGGCAGGAGTTGGCTGCAGCTCACGGTATTCAGCGATGCAGACATGGCGGGGGACATCGACGGACGACGGAGCACCTCTGGCGTGCTCGTCTTCCTCGGGTCAGTCCCAATTTCATGGTTGTCGCTAAAACAGAAGATGGTGGCGGCGTACGTAGCGGCGGCCACAGCGGCGTGGCAAGTTGTGTGGCTACGCCGGCTGCTGGGCGAGCTGACCGGCGTGGAAGCTCACCCACCAGCACTGATGGTGGACAACCAGCCCGCCATCGCCCTCGCGAAGAATCTGGTTCTGCACGACCGGAGTAAACACATCGACGTAAAGTTCTACTTCCTCAGGGACTATGTTGATGGAGAGCAAATCGTCATCGAGTTCGTCGAAACTGCTTGGCAGCTCGTGGACGTCCTCACCAAGCCGCTCGGACGACTTCGACTCACGGAGCTGAAGGAGATGATCGGCATGGAGAGGGTACAAGGGTTAGCAGTAGGATTAGGGGAAGATTGTTAGCTAATCTACTGCCACCTTGTATGAACACAGCAGAAGAAGGCGGCGCTGACTTAGCCGCCTGCTGTGTGTGAACACAACAAGGGAAGGCGGCGCCGACTTTGCCCCCTGTTGTGATACATGGCAGCTTCATAGTGTGCGCGCCGACGGCTCACCTGCAAACTGTGTAAGAAGAACAAAAGGTGGCGGCGCGCAGAGTTAGCCCTATCAGATTATCTAGTTACTGTGCCAGCATGCAGCACATGGACTAGATAGTTAGAGTTGTATAAATAGACATGTATGGCAACTCAGTAAAGAGAGCTCAGATTTGCCATCACACAGACAGGGCATCGGCCAATGCTGTTGTCTTGTATTGTGCGTGCTTGCTCTGTTCTCCCTTCTTCTCCCAACTCCGTCCGTAGTGTGTGGGTACGGACAATGCCGGTACGTGGTCTGCACGGCTAGTGGGTGCTCGGCAACACTAGCGCGTGCTCGTCCAGACCGTCAAGTGCTCCACTCGTCTGAGCCGGTGCACGGCAAGATCGGCTAGAGTGGTTCACTGTCGTGAGCCGGTGATCCTGTGAGACCAAGGGTGGTCTGGAGACCATCTCGGTGGTCTGGAGGCTATCTGTAGTGGTCTGGAGGCCATCTCGATGGTCTGGAGGCTATCTGTAGTAGTCTGGAGGCCATATCGGTGGTTGAGAGGCTAACTATGGGTCAACAATAACAGCATCTTTTGTTTTTTGATGTGAAAGAGAAAGGGTGTCATTCTGGGAGTGCCTTGACATATGCACCTGAAACTGAGTCAATTGACCGCCCCTGATACATTTGTTTGCCAAAATGTGGCGACCTATACACAAAACATGGAAAACTGGGTACAGTTCTCGCATTCTCTGTTTTAGTTGAGTTTGCAGGTAGTAGAGACATCACTCAGTCAACCGCTTGTTGTTCTTTGACGGCTGCAGCAAGTGGACCATTGTTAATGTCAAGCTTCAGGGACACATCCTTGAACATCTTGCGGCTGAGGGTGTTGTAAACCGCTCTCGAGTACTGCCTCGACGTATTCCTCCAGTCCACTCCAGCTTTCATCATCAGCTCAAACTCCTCATAGCTTATCTTCCCGTCCTGTATGTAGGAGCTAGCACATTTTAGTTTTTTGACTAGTGCAGTGGAATGAACTTAAACTATCGATCTGTTGAAAAGTTCGCTAGTTCTTTGTGATGGATGGTGGCCTAACCTTGTCTTTGTCGACATCTAGGATTATGTCGTCGATCGCCTTCTGGTCACCTCTTGGAGAGAGGGCCTCCTTCAACTCTTCGATCTCGATGTACCCGCTCCCATTCTTGTCGAAGTAGCTGAACACCTTGGGCAGGTGATCCTCGCTGCGGATTTTTTTCAGGTGAATGGAGACTGTCACAAACTCCTTGCAGTCCAGGGTCCCATTGCCGTCCATGTCTGCCTGTAGAATGCAAAGACAGTGACACATTCAGAGTAGTCCTTCATCACATTGTTAACCAGTTATTCGTCCAGATTTCTTGCACTTGTCGAGAAGGGTGCAATAATGCTACAATTTACAATAATCTGTTGAAAATGAGAAGGTTCGGCAAATGTAATGTAAAGCACAAGATCGAGGTTCTCACAGCTTCCATGAGCATATCCACATCCGTGTCATGGACATTGTGGCCTATCAATCGCAGTCCCTTCCTGAGTTCTTCGATTGTCAGATGCCCATCCTTGTTGGTGTCCAGCATGTGAAACAACTCCCTGATTGCTTCCAGCTCTTCGGCTGGTAGGTACTCTGCCACCACCTGCAGGTTATAACCAATGAAGAAATTATGTAATATTTGGAGACTGGTGGCATACCCAAAAAGAACAGCTGTGACTGAGGTACGAAGGATCATCAAACTCACAAGTAGAGCCTTCTTCTTGAACTTGTTCATAACCGTGAATTGCTTCAGCCTGGACCTCACTGCTTCTCCGAGTGGGATGTTGGGAGCTGCACTGGCATTCTGTATCCAAGGATGTTCTTCATTGTTGAAAGGTGATAAATGATGGTCAGATTCATTCAACCAAACAATTTTGGGGAGCGGAAAAATCATGAGGCCAGATAACTAACCCAGAACCTGCTGGGCAGTCAACCGAGAGTAGGGGCTGGGATCAAGCATCTTCCTCACAAGATCTTTTGCATTTTCAGACACCTTTGGCCAAGGCTCTCTCTGGAAGTCGAGGTTGGACCGGATGATAGCCTGTGCTATGCCCTCATCAGTCTCTGCAGATTAAAGGATCAGCGTACAAAAAAACCTCATCAACGAGTAGATGACCCATGCATCAGAACGAAATTTGATGGGTTTTTTACATTGATTGATTGATTCAGAGGTATATATATGGATCGAACTTACCTGCCCAGAATGGTGGGACACCACATAGCAAGATGTAGAGGATGACTCCTGCACTCCATATATCTACTTCTTGCCCATAGTTCCTCTTCAGGACTTCAGGAGCCATATAGTAGGGGGATCCAACGATCTCACTGAACCTGTCACCTGACGCAGAAGGAAGAAATGCACGCTTTGTGAAGATTATTTTGAGAATTTTTAGTTTTTTTTTGTATGTAAAAGTAATTATATTGTTGGACGCTTTGCGATTTTGCCATGGACAAAGCTCCAACCTTGTTTGAAGCACACGGAGAGACCAAAGTCGATGACCTTCAGTGCCGAGTTCTCAGATGTGTTGGCATACAGAAAGTTCTCAGGCTTGAGGTCCCGGTGCATGACGCCATGCTTGTGGCAATGCTGCATGTAAAGAGGTTCAATTTATTTTTGGAAATTTGCTTTTAGTTTGCAGGAATTTGTTTTTGCACGACATGACATAAATGTCTAATGTAAGAGCATCTCCAAGTGTTCTCTAAATTTTCCTCCTAAAACCTCCATGTTTCCCAACTCCTAAAAATATATTAGGAGAAAAAAAGACAATCTCCAATATTTTCTAATATTTCACTTCTCAATAATTAAATTTAGGTCCCACTCAGCTTTTTTTTGCGTTTTTTTCGTGCGTACCTCTTCGTCCCCACGCATACGTACGCCGCCGCCACCGCCACCATCTTCCTTCGTGTTGCCCTAGCTCTGCTCGTCCCAGCCGGCGGCCTGCTCCTCCCAGCACTTGTAGCACGCATGCATACACTACCATGCAGCAGTATGCAGCAGCTAGGCATTGCCGGGCATCAAGTAGCAGCAGCAGGTAGCCATCAGCTTCCAGCCAGCCATATCAAGTATTTCCCAAGTGCGTAACTTTGATGTATACAGGGTATCGATACAGGGTACTACTATAGATCGATTGGATAGATGGATAGATGTTGATGCAACTCCGAAATCCAATGGGCGGCCGGCCGGCGGCGGGGCAATCGAACAAGAAAGGAAGCACGACACCACCTCCCAGCCTACGACGGCGGCGGCGGCGGCACGAAGCCAAGGTGGTGAAGGCGGCGGCGGCGATCCTCTTCTTGGTGGCGAGCGATGGAGCGGCGAGTTCTTGGTGGCGAGCGATGGAGGAGCGACTTCTTTCTACCGCGACCCAGAACCACCGATGGAGAGCGTGCGAAAGATGGCCTCGCGGCAAAATACAGTGCGGGAAGAAGGACGACGCGCGGGAACGGCGTCTCCGAGCACGGCTTTGTCCGCGTAAAGTTACACGGAAGGGGGAGGAATTTCCCAAGTCATAAAATATTAAGAGTAAATATTAGGAGTTGTTGGAGAGGGTTTTCCCCATCTTTCTAAAAAACAAGGATTAGGAGGATGTTTAGGGAACTAGAGCATCTGCAAGAGTTTACAAAACACACTCCTAATCTTGATCTTTTTTTTTTTTTGCAAGATTGGAAAAAACTGCTCTATTGACCTAATCAAGCGGAAATATACGCTGGTGTATCCATCGGCCAATCAATCTGGAATTAAAAGGATGCGGGGAATAATAATGAGTAGGGCAGGTTCCCAACTTAAATTTATATAAGAGAGAAAGTATAAAAGTGGTTTCGGTGATTTAGAAATAGTTTATAATTTGTGATGTAAAATTGTCTTATATTTTACTGAGCTAGATTTTGTTAAACAAATGTGCTCTTATCTTTTTTTTTAGCTATTTGGAAAACTCATTGATTTACCAGATGTTCTTTTTTGAATTATTGGAGATGCTCAAAGCTTTGCCGATTTTAATTGGAAAGAAGGAAACACGCATGCCATGCATTCGGACTTTTTTAAAGAAGTTGTAAATTTCTGATGAATGCACGGATGGCATTTTATAAAATTACATTGCTTTTGTCTTGCACACCTATTATTTCAGCTAACCGCGGTTATTTACACGCATTTTAAAACCAGATCAGAACTGTTGATGGAAATGCGCGCACACGCTGACATGTGACATGCATGCAACCATGGAAGGCAGTACTCGGCACGTACCAGGACGACTTCCATGATGGTGCGCATGACGCCGGCGGCTGCGCGCTCGGTGTAGTGGCCGCGCGAGACGATGCGGTCAAAGAGCTCGCCGCCCTCGCAGACCTCCATGACGAGGTGCACGGTGTCGCCGTCCTCAAAGGCCTCTCGCAGGCGCACGACGTTGGGGTGCTCCGGCAGCGACCGCATGATGGCCACCTCCCGCCGGACGTCCTCGATGTCGACGCTGCTGCGCAGCTTGCGCTTGCTGATGGACTTGCACGCGAGCACGTCGCCCGTGGACGTGTCCGTGCACCGCCGCGTCACGCCGAACTCGCCGCGCCCCAGCTCCTTGCCGAGCTGGTACCGCCGGAGCAGCTCCTCCGCGCTGGCCTCCGCGGCCAGGCCCTTCCCCAGCACGGTCAGCGGCGTCCACGCCTGCGTCGCCGTGGCGCGCGCGGCGTCGGAGATGGAGGACAGCGTGGAGCAGGACCGCACGTTGGCGCCGCCGAGGCGCCCGCCACGGTTCCCGCCAGCGCCACCACCGCCACGGTTCCCGCCCCGCCGCTTGCCTGACGACGGCCGGGCCACGCAGCAGTTGCCCATCGCCGCGGCGCCACGCGTGGCTCCGGACGACGACCACGCTTAGCGCGGTTCAGTGGTTCCGGCCGATCTTTGCTTCTCTCCCTGGACGGACGGACGGCGCGGATATCGATGGATCTCTCTCTTCCTCTCCCTCTCCCTCTCCCTAGGGCAAGAGAGGATCGGAGGAGAGAGATGGAGGAAAATGGTGCTGTCGTGGTAGATGGTTTTGAGAGACAGGCAGCCTCTCTTTTCTCGCCGGGTCCTTCGTTCTCGTTTTCCCATTTTTGGAATTCTTCCATTGCTTCCCCGGAATCACGTTTGCATTCTGCTAGTTCCCTTTCAAAATATTGTTTAGCTTTTTCTAGCTCGTTTGTTCTAGTAATTAATACGTTAGAGCATCTGATCTCCAAGAGTTTGGCATATTTTGTTCCCCAAAACATGGTGTTTGCTAACTCCCAAATAATTATGGGGAGGAAAAAAAGAGGCCATCTCCAATAGTACTCCATAATTGACTTCCAAAATATTAGATTTGTGGACCCATATGCGAAATCCTTCTGTGCCGCCTCCTTCGTGCTCGTGCCGATCCCTTGCAGGTCTCAGGCGGCGACGGCCAGCTTCCCGGCCATCAGCACAGTAGCATGCAGCCGGCTATCAGGCAAGCAGGTTCACCACGCGGCCAGTAGCTGCTTCACCGTGCGCCAGCAAACAGTACCATGCAAGCAGTAGAGCAGCCGGCCAAGAGCATTACTTCAATACACATATACACGGGAGGAAGAGTTCATCGCGACCGACGGCAATTCCGGCACCGCGAGCGAGCATAGCACTACGAGCGAGCACAGCACTGCGAGCGACGACAATCCCGGCAGGCACAGGCGTCGGAGATCATCTCGCGAGCGAGCGACGGCAATCCGGGCGGCCCCGGGCGGTAGGAGATGGCGTGCAATGGCGCAAAGAGGAACCGTGGCAAAAAAAAAATCGCGACACCGCGTGGGAGGAGGTGACGGCGCGGGAATCGCGAGGATGCGCGCAACTACGGACAGCGCATTTTTACGCACGATGGAGGCCGGTTTGCCAAGTGCCAAAAGATGTGGAAGGGATATGGGGTACTCTTAGAGATGAGTTTTTCTCTCTTTTTTTTCCAAAAAAACATGAATGGGGAAGGGATATGGGGCACTCTTGGAGATGCTCTTACGTTCTACCTCAGTGTATGAGATGCAATGTAAATTTAGGATCGTTGTCTCATTATATATGTTACGTCTTAATGAATTCTCGTGATTATGCAAGGTAGATGACTATATACTTCGTTACGTAAGAGTGTCATTCTCGCTTACCGAGAAGTCAAACTTTTACAATTTTTGACTAAATATATATAAGAGAATATTAGTTTTTATAGTGCATAATTAGTATCATTATATATTAGCTGTGTTCGAATAAGGAGGATGAGTGTCATTTGGAGAGAGGGGGTCCTCCCGGGGCCGACAGCGAGGACTCCCCTGCACGTCTCGCCACCGTTTAGGTCTCCTTCTCCGCCTCGGGGAGGGCGGCTTGGAGTCAAGGTAGATGCTGGGAAAACCAAGTGGCACCTGCTCAACCATGGATGGCAAATCGAGTTGGAGGAAGGGTTGAAATCCAAAACCTGCGTGAGGTGGATGAAGAGGTTCAAGAGTTCTGGGGCCAACTGTTGTTCTTCCCAGGCTCGCAACACGCCGCGCGTGCAGCTAGTGTTAGGGCGTGTGAGGGGCAAGCTCTGGTGTGGATCCGGAAGTCTCTGAAATCCAAGCCCTTCACTGTGGAGGATTGTTTCCCCATTGGTGAAGGTGATGTCTGGGAAGGCAAGCCTCACAAGCTAGATTTCACAAAAGACATCTAGGCGAAGGAAGGAAGTAGGAGCTTCATGAGAATCATGAAGGAATCCATGGCCAACCGCCCATGTGGGAGAGGGATGTGCCCTAGTAGCTCGGAAGAAGAGTGGAGGGATTGGGGGCGACAGCTAGAACTAGTTCCCGCAGCTCTATTCACCACACCCACCGAAGTAGTTCTACAATCAACCTCCTCCGCCACCACCTCCACACAAAATGGCTTCTTCCCCAACCTTCCTCCACCTCAATAGTATGGACCGTTCAACCGATTCAATGGTCAGAGACCTTGTAACGACCCGAGTTCGCTACAATATAGGCTCTTGTTTTTTACCATCAGTGAAGCACCTTATCAAGCCCTTGCTAGGATCTCTCGATGGACTAGAATCGGAGAAAACACGTTGCTTTTGGTTTGAGAAAGTGATTCACATCATGAGTCAACTTGAGTCAACAAGAGTCAACCAAAGCTATTGGGGGTGTGTTGCCCTAATTCTTAGATACACAGTGGTCAGGTTGTCGTTGTTTGAGATATGAATGTTAACCCTGATGCCAAACTCCAAATGCTTGGATCAATTTCGTAGAAGCAGAGAGTTACCGGATAGTCCGACAAATCTATCGGACTATGTGTTAGGTGACTGTACAGCAACAGTGAGTGGAGAATGAGTTGTCCTCCATTTTCCCATGGTCCCACATGTCATATGCATGATATTGAAGATGGGATCATCAGCTGAAGCAGCACCCAACTCAACTTACTCTCCCATTTCTCACCTTCCTCCCTCTCTTTAGAAAGCAAGAACAAGGAAGAACTAGAGAGAGAAAGTGGAGATTGGAGATGGAGGTGGAAGGTGAAGTAAAAGGAAGAAATCCAAGATCATCATCTTATCAAGCTCAAGCCATTCTCATCTTATCCATGGTCATGGTTAGCTCATGAGCTCTCATCTCAATTGTTTGGATATTTCCCTCAAACCCTAATCCTAAATCTCTCATGCATGTATGGATCATGGAGTCTGGTGATCTCTCCTTCATCACAAAGGTAGGATTAAGGCTCAATGCATGACTAATCTCTAGAGATCTTTCTCAAAATCCATCTCATGCTATTTTATGGATCTTTTGCAAGAATATCAAGGAATGGCTCATTTGCTTCCTCAAGGATGAAAAGCAAGATGTGCTCAAGTCTCTTCTCATGGTCATGATCGTCTTATAGTCTCCAAAATCTAGAGCTAAGTTCTCATGGCTCAACCCTAAGTCTTTATCTTGAGTTCTCATGGTTAGAATCATGCACAAACCACTAGGTGCACTAGTTAGCCAAGACCCAAAACCTAGCTAGCTTCAACATAGAGTATCATTAGAGCTACCCTAAGAATGTTGTGCACATGCATGAATGTTTGTAGCCCCAAACTAGGAATCAAACCAGCCAAAAACCTAGAGCATAGTTTCTGTCGCCCAACCTATTGGAGAGTCCGTCATATGTGGTGTCTGATAAAACCTTCCTAATTCAGTAACCTTCCCAACAAAGACCCCAACATCCTTTCTGAGTGAGTGATGGAGCATCTGTCGAACTCGATGGAGTGTTCATCGAATTATTAAAGTTGGAACCTGAGAACACTGGTTTCCTAGCAGATTGTACGCAGTTACACACGGAGTGTCCGTCGTTTTATAAACCAAAAAACTGATGGAACCTGAGACCTCCTAGTTACCAACGGAGCATCTGATGAATGGCTTGGACCGTCCGATGGAAGGCCAGAGACCCTAGAATGTCTAAGTCCTAAGCCACCGGAGTATCCGCAACGTAACAAAGCATCCGTCAAACCAAACCAGAGTCAAAACAGAGCCAAGTTACGTCGAAGCCTAGTCCGACGGAGAGTCTGACACTTATAGCGGAGCGTTTGTCAGTTAACAGCAAGAGTGAAGTTTGTTTGGGAAGCTTACCCAAGAGGTCAGCAACACTAGGTTAAACCCAGTCATAAATAGGGCAATAGTAGAGCCATAGTTAGATGTCTCTTTCCAAATTCCAAATCGAGCCTTATCTCTAAGTCTCTTTATCAGTTATCTTCAATCCAGATCTTTATCTCTTTCAGGAACCGAGTAGCGTGAGCAACATGTGCAAGTTATTGTCCTCAACTTCGAATTTGTTCGAACGGCATAACCATTAGGCACCTAAAAGGTCCTTGTTTGGTTTTGGTAATTGAGTGACAACCTAGGTGGACTAATTGTGTTTAATGTGAGATACACAGGTGATTTGTCCACAGGTACATCATGTGTGAGCAACCTATGCCATGACGATAAAATGGCTTGGATACATTGCAAAGCTTACACATGTGATGAAGGTGCTCATTGTATATGAGACATGACATGGAGTCATGTGACTAAGGTGGATAAGATCAAGACAAGAATTGGCTTGATGGACCGATTGCAAGCATGAAGGGCAAGTTGGAGGCTTTGGAGCGATGAACCGCGTGGCGGTGAAGCTTGAGCAAGACTTGGCGCCGATGGACGAAAGCAACGGTTAAGAGCAAGTGAGGTCAAGATCGATGAACTAACAAGGTCACATGATGATATGAAGTGGATCATATCATTTGTGATATGGTTGGTGCATGTGTTGCATCAACGATGGAGGACATGGAATGTAATGCGCAAGGCAAAGGTATAACCTATAGGGCATTTCATTTCACCGGTCATAGGTGTGTAGAGAAGTTTATGATCGAGTTTAGGATAGATGGACATACTATCAAGAGGAGCAAACTTGTTTGCATATCGGTCATATAGTGCCACTCGAGTGATCTAACTTTACATCATTGCTAGGATCGAGTGGCGTGGTGAATTGAGTGACTAATCCTTTGGTAAAATATTTGTGAAAAGCTAACACACGTGCACAAGATGGTGGACACTTCGTGGTGTTGGCATATTTGCAAAGGAGAAGTCGAAAGGTGAAGAAAGGAGGTGAAACCAGGCTCGGGGTGCTGCCCTAGGGGAACCGCCACCCCCTGTCCGGTGCACCACCACCCCAGTAGTGGTGCCCGGCTGGACAAGGCCGAGAGGAGGAGTTGGGGTGGCACCGCCTGGCCTTGGCGGTGGCACCACCCTCCTATGTCCGGTGACCGATTGGACGTGGCCTAGAGTGGCGCGGTCTGGGGGTGGCACCGCCAGTGGCAGTGTGCACCGCCC